TGTAGAATCAAACTTGAGGGAGAAAGGTTTTTGGAAACTGGATGATTTCTTCACCAGTTAGTCAAGGAACCAACTAGAAACAATGCTATTTTAGATGTATTGTTAACTTCAAATACAAAAATTATTGAGAGGGTGGAAATTGGGGAACATCTGGGTGCAAGTGATCATTGCTCCATTGTTTTACTGCATATAGGAGATAAGGAATACAATATTTTGGTTACAAATTTCAAATAAAGCAAATTTTGAAGGAATGTGACAAAAGTTATCTGTTGTGAATTGGGCAGCTGAGTTATTTGAAGACACTGATTATATCTCGAGAAATTTTAAAAGATAAATTTTTAAATATTCAATGTAAACATATTCTCAACAGAAAAAAAAGATTAGCTACAAGTAAAAAACCAGGTCAGCTCACAAAGAGTGTAAGAAATAAAATTAAAGAAAAGCACCATAAATTTAAAAAATTTAAATTGACCAGTATGACAAGAGACTTAGAAGATTATAGAAGATCAAGAAATTGGGACATCAAAAAGGATTTATGAGAAAAAGTTTGTTGAAAATGTAAAATTTAACAGCAAGGATTTCTTTCAATACATTAAGGGGAAACAAAATACTAGGATAGGGACAGGACCCTTGAGGGATGATAAAGCAAGGCTAGTATCTGATAATAATGTGATGGCTGGGTTATTAAATTCTGGATTTCGTTTGATTTTTACTAATGAAGATTTAAGAAGTATTCCACATCTTGATCAGTTGATAAATGGAAACGAGATCAAACAAGATAACTACATTAATTCTGAACTGGTTAAGAAAAAATTGGGAAGCTTAAAAAATGATAAGGCTCCTGGGCCAGATATTTCCCCAAGGGTTTTGAAGGAGGTTAAGAACTGGATATGTGAGCCACTTGTTACTAGTTTTTGTATGTCCTTGAATAGTTGACAGGTACCAAAGAATTGGAAATTAGCTAATGTAACTCCTCTTTTCAAGGTAGGTGATAAAAACTGTTCCAGTAATTATAGACCCATTAGTCTTACATCAGTTGTGGAAAATATTATGGAAAGTATGTTAAAAGATGCTTTGCTAAGTCATTTAACAAAGTTTAGAATTTTATTGGATAGTCAACATGGTTTCATGAAGGGAAATCTTGCCTTACAAATCTTTTAACATTCTTTGAAAAGGTTACTACTTATGTAGATGAGGGTAAGGGTGTAGATTTGGTTTATCTGGATTTTCAGAAAGCATTTGACAAAGTACCACATAAAAGGCTTGTAAAAAATTTGCTCTATAGGTGTGGTGGTTAAGTTAGCTAATTGGATAGAAGAATGGTTGAATGGAAGAAAGCAGAGGATTGTTACAAATGGAGTTCAATCAAACTGTATTAATGTCACAAGTGGGGTACCTCAGGGCTCAGTCTTAGGATCTTTGCTCTCTTTGATTTA